CTCTCTCTCTCTCTCTCTCTCTCTCTCTCTCTCTCTCTCTCTCTCTCCATCTCCAAGGACGGGCTTCCACATTGATGCCACTCCGGATGGTCAGCACTGTCGGCGTTGCCATGGCAATGTGTATCCGACTGTGTGTGTTTGTGAGTGTGTGTGTGTGTGTGTGTGTGTGTGTGCGTAGAAGGAGACAAACATACTTGGACACGCCCTGCTTTTCTATCTTGTTGTGTGGAGGAACGACTGGTAACTTGATTAGGGACTAGACAGGGCTGCCGTCCTTGTGGCTTTTACTGATGCTGAAGGAGAGACGTGTCATCCTCAAACTCTTCTTTGATTGCGGTCGACTTTCTCTGCAACCTTCACCTTGTTTCATTCTTCCCTCTTCCTCTTATTCCCATTCCCTTGGTTTGTTTTTTAGTTCCTTTGCCCAGCCTTCTTCTTTACTTATATTGTCATGTTTGCTTTTTTTTTTATTATTCCTCCTCGCCGCCTTTCTCTCTTCTTCCTTGCCGTCCTTATCCCTTGATAACCCCTCCACACCACCCTCCCCTCACCCCTTGCTCCACTTTATTAAGCATATTAATAGGAGGTTGTGCGGAGACAAATGTGCTACTGTTTTCTCCCCTGCATCAGTCCTGCTGATTGGAATCCATTCTCCCTGCTGATCCAGTGTGGGTGGTCAGACTGGGATTCATTATTGTGTTTATGTGTGTGTGTGTGTGCGCATGCACACTGGCGATGAATCAGAGTTTGTCTGTGTGTGAATGTGTTGAGAGAGAGAGAGAGAGAAGGGGGGTGGAAGAAACACTTCGGGTGTGAGAGTTGGCAAGTGTGTCACATCGCCTGCACCTATGGATCTCATGGCTGCGGATGCATGTCGCCTTGCTCATTAGGCGGATTGGCGTGCATGCGCTCAGAGGAGAGCGTTGCGGCCTTGGCAGGAGATCCGAGGCTCGTCTGATGCCCGCTTGAATCAACGCTGTGTGGCACCTGTCGGCCCGAGACACGCACACACACTGTGACGTGCTGAGATTCTGTGACACTGTGTATGTGAGCGTGTTTGTATCGAAGTTGCGGCCCCTGTGGCAAAGCTCGCGGCGTAGAAATTGAATTTTTTATTTATTTTTCTGCACTCTTGTGCCACTTGATACACGTCCTGTTTCGTTGACGGAGCTGGCTGCCAAACTCTTGAGTTTTCTTCATCTCAATCTTTGGCTCCTCATCCTTCTTTCCTTCCTTCCTCTTCCCCCCTCTCACTGTCATGTCTACCTGTGTCCTTGAGACGGGTTGGATGCCCTCCCAGGATGTTCTCATGGGCTGATTGGGATTCCACTCCATGCCAAAAATGTTACATGAGAAAGTTTTTTTTCCTTGTAATCCTATCCTACCTATCCATCAAACTTTTTATGACAGTAGTGAAAGAGACGTCTGTCATGTCACATTCTGTATTGTTGAATTAATTCTGGGTAATGGTAACCAAAATCTTCAGGTGGAAACTTTGCAACCTCCTGCTCCAAGTGAGGTTGAAAAAGGCTCGACTGGGAACAATTGCCCTTGATCTCAAGCCAGTTGAGATTACTTAAATGGGTCACCTTCACGACTCGACAGCTTTGTCATGCAGAAACAAACATACAGAAACAAATGTGGTCACGTACAGTATGTGTGTGTGCTGGTGTCATATCTGCCTTCTCCTTGGCCATAGCCGCTATGAGTGTGTCTCTACATCTTCATATGGCCTTGGGTGGTTTTCACACATACTCATGATAACTACACTCAAGCCTTTACTCCATGTGGCATTACCAAATGATTACCTATGTGTCAGACATTCTCGACACGTCCCCATTCATTTGAACACACATTTGTATTTACATCACTGGAATTGATTTTTTTGCCCTTTTCCCTCTTTTTCGTCATATTTAACTCTACGAACAATCATGTGTTGGATTGAATCTAAACCAGTCCGAATCAACATCATAGTGTTTTGTGTTCAGTGATTCTAGTAATTTCAAATTAGTTTGTTTAGTCTACATTACTAGACCTAAAATCAGGACTGTCTACATTCTGTAATGAGAGAAATATAATTTTTCCAAAACATATGACAGTAAAACAGTGTGGTGTAAATTGTGGTGTCCAGTAGAACCACAGCTCGGGTGAAGTCGCCTCGCTCTTCCTCTCACCTCCAGAGTTTACTGTTCCTGCTGCCCACATCTCCATCCAGCATGTCACCCAAAGTTACCGCTCTGCAGTGCATATTATTATGAGCATTACGTAGAGATTTGATGAATGAATGGTGAGAATTTTTATGATGGAGGAATTACAAGGTGCTTAACGATGCAACTCTGAAGTGCAACACACATATTGCACATGTTGACGTGTTTTGACATTGGGATGTAAGAGAGAGAGACGTGTGTTGTGCCACTGGTATGTGTTGCCGCAAATACTGGTTTTCCAGTGTGTGTGTGTGTGTGTGTGTGTGTGTGTGTCTCTATATTCGCTCAATCGTTAAAATATGTACGCCTTTCTGACTGTCAATACAAAAGAAATCTGTGTTTTGGTGGTAACAAATACACTTTGAGCAAGTGTCTAGTCTTTCTAGCACTTTCTACGTCAGCGCTGTGTGAATGCCTGCAGAAAGGATGCGTTGGAGCTCAAGTAAAAATGAGTAGTAATTGTCCAAGTATCATCGAGTACCGGGGGCCCCTTATGATACTATGATTACAGGTTCTCATCACTTCAGCCCCCACCAAGTAATTACTTTTAAATGCACAGGCAGTTTCAGCCACCAGCTAGCTGATGACAGGGCATGGCTTGGCATGGCACCACGCAGCTCTCCCTCCTCACCACCTCCAAACGTCGTTGCCCTCATCGTTACTGCCAGAATCCTGTTTGATTTGTTTCTGAAAGCATCTCCATGCCTCACAGGGAATATTCAGAGTCTTTGTTTCCACATTTAGTTCCCTTGTCTTTTCGCCCCATGAATTTCACCTCTTCAAGTGATATTTCAATAGTTTAATTTAAGAAGCTGCCATGGCTGGGCATCTATTCCCTCATTACGGTGTCATTTCTCTAATTTCACCAGAGTGAAAACAGAATCTTGATGCAGAATATGCATTTGTAGAACATTAAAAAGAAATCATTGCATAATATTTATTGCTTAGTTTTATTCCAACCTTGAAGAAAAAACGCTTATACTGAAATTCAATCTAGGCATTGGTAATATAAATGTTTGTTGCTCTGTGTATACAGACACACAAACACATGTGCCCGATCCCCCAATTGTCCCTCAGGCCATGACGCCACTCCTGACAAATAGAGCTGACCGCAGTACTCATTTCTTTTTATCATGGCGACCTCGAGCAAGCAACAAACACATTGCCACAGAGATGGATCTGTTTGCACTGAAAATGTGATTTGTTCCAGTATTTGGCTGAGATCAGAGGACACTGCTTTGCCACGCCTTTGATATTGTTGCTGAGGGCTCATCAGTGGTGCCTGACCTGCCCATCGAGGGGGGGGGGGGGGGGTCATGTTTGTGATGCGTGTCTGAATCAAAATTCCTGTGGAGACTATAATGGATATGTCAACTCTACACAGGGGAAACGCATAAAACAGACACCGTGAATAAGGACACACCTTGCGTCTATGTTGTCTCTCTTTCTCATCATTTATCTAGGGTTGGACACTACATTTGACTTCCTGCAGTGAATACTGAATGTGATCTTTCCTTGTTAGTTAACAGTTCAGTATGTGCAGCATCGGGGGAAATACCTATGTTTCCTCTATGAGGTCTCATACCCTGAGACTTCTTGTTACTGATGTCACAGAAACCAGCAGGACTGATCCATTAAAGGCCATCCTCTGGGAGACGAGAGATGAGGCCTGAACAAATTGTCGCCACTTATCACTGGGACACGCTTTGCTCTACAATACCGCAGGGAGCAATTTTATGGCTAGGACTAAACTCTGTCTTTATTTCACGTAGCATGGAAATAGAGCCTTTAAAAGGAGGTGGTGGTGGGGATGGGGAAGGAGTGAGGAGCCAGAGGGAGCGTGAGAGGAGCCAGAGGGAGCGTGAGAGCCACAGGATTAGGGAGAAGTGGGAGGGTGACAGAAAAAAAAATATTTTTCTAGGCTGGGCATTGCTTATTTACTTAGTTAAGAGTTTTTCTTTGTGGCTTTTAGCCAAAGAAACTAGTAGCCACTGTACACTGCGCCTCTTCCTGTTGAATTGTAAATATAATTCTCTAACAGAGTTAAGAATACAGGGGCTTCACACTAACTCGCCATAACTCACTTTTAACCACATAGCTTCTAGTTGTCAGTCCCATACGAGGCTGCCTCAGCAAAACCTCTTACCTCCCAGCTGTCCCCTGTCTCGTCCTGATGACTCTTTTTTTGTTTTAGTTTTTTCTTTAATCCAGTTGCTCTCACAAAAACACACACACACACACAGTATGAGTCATGCACAGCATCAATTTGGCATGCAGCCCACTCTCCTAGAGCGCTGCCTTTTTTGATCAAACTAGATTGTTGGAGCATTAAAGCCAGTAAGAGCTCCTGCAGACAAACAGGTAAATCAATCGTTTACTGTATGTCTGTCCCCTGAAGATGATTTTTGTTTTATTCCAGAAAAATCAAATTGAATCATTTTGTTTTTGCCTCCCTCTCTCCTCTCCTTTGCTCACTTTGCACTGCTGTAGATATTGGTGTGTGTGTTTTGAGAGCAAAAAAAAGTCAAAGAAATGGAAATATCTCATCATAGCAGATTGATGTCAGTTTCAATATCTGTGAGGAGGCTTCCACTCAGCCGTCAATGTCAGTAGCCTAATACTGGCAAATATGTGTGCGTGTGTGTGCTTGTGTTTGTGTGGGTGTGGGTTTTAGGCTTTCGGGCTGGTTTCTCCTACAGAATTGTTTTTCAAAATAAATGTTTTTCGAAAAGCCTTGACATTTTGTGCTTGAGTGATTTCTATGATTTTGTACTTCTTTACAAATATGACTCACTTCATCTTTATATGTGTGCGTTTGTATGTCCTTTTCCATTTTTGTTTGTTCAAAATTACCGGAAACAGAATACAGAGTAGCATGACTGTCCACTGTTGGTAATGTAGGAGTGTGTGTGTTCCAGCAACCATCATTTTGAATGAGCTAAATTGGACAGAGGCCTTGGAGGATGTTTTCCGGAAAAACAAAGAGGAAGATCCCTCAATCCTCTGGCAGGTGTTTGGCTCGGCCACCGGATTGGCTCGATACTTCCCAGGTGAGCCGCTCAGCAGCCAATGGGCTTACTCCAACCACCACTGACCTTCCTATAGTCGGGGACAAAGATGTGCTGTTGACTGGCTGAGAAAAAGGCATACAAGTCACGATTTACTTCGAGCATCTCTCATAAAGTTCTGTTTTAAAATCGTGCATTTCTTTATCACCACAAATGTCAAAAAGTCAGGAGATTACTTTTGAATTGTCCTCTATAGCTCAAAGATTGCATTAAAGGAATAGTTTGACTTTTTTGGGAAAACCATGATTGTATAGCTTAGCTTAGCACAAGGGCTGAATGCATGGGGGAATGCCAAGTCTCGCTCTGTCCAAAGTTCAAAGTATTTTGATTTTGTACCAACTAAACAAAGGAGATACAACAATTATTGAACTTTGGACTCAGGCTAGCTTCCCCCTACTTCCAGTATTCATGCTAAGCTAATAGCCTCCTGGCACGGTTTGCATACACAGCAATCAAAGCAGTGTCAATCTTCTTACCAGTAAGAAAGCAAATAAAGTAGATTCCTCAAAAAGTCCAAGTATTCTTTTAATATAAAATATATTAAGATAATATTTAAGCTGATAGATGTAAGACATGTTTTAAGCCACTAACTTGACATTCAAGTACTTCTTGAATCTTAATGTGCAGTAAACTTTCCTTTCCCCATTTCATCCTTCTGCCAAATCACAGCATCCCCTTGGGTCGACTCAAGCAATTTAGCCAATAAGATCGACCTCTATGATGTTCGCAGGCGGCCGTGGTGAGTGTAGACGCTCATTATGGAAAGTGCAGTTTTGTTTCTGTGTCTCTAATCATCTCCTCGTCAGTCATTTCTCTAGTATGTGTCAAGGGCAGACACGTGGCTCATTCACTCTACCTGTGTAAATCGAATTGTCATATTACACACTCATTAGCCAAAACTCTTCTTCCATGTTGCATAAACTGATTACACATAAGGACATCGGCAAACGCACAGAGTTTAAAACAATCAAATCCAGGTCTCTAACCAAATCCAAACCCACTCAAACAAACGCATCAGAGCACTAAGATGGTTAATCCATTTTAGATCAAAGGGTACCAATACGAACGCTTCATTAGTCTCCTAAAAATGATTCAAATCTGACTGGAAGCCATCAATGCTCTATTATTTCCTTAAAAAATGGTTTTAAAAATACTTTCTGAATTATAATTATTCCCTATGTGAGCTCAGTATTCACGATCTTCGTGTGTGTGTGTGTGTGTGTGTGTGTGTGTCTGTTATTACTCACCAGGTACATTCAGGGGGCAGCGTCACCCAAGGACATGCTGATCCTGGTGGACGCGTGAGTGACGACCTCATGATTCATTACGGTCCGATTTTATTTTATTTTGTGCGCCAGGAGGCCCTGTCGCTAACTCTCTGACTGCGCTGTGCTCACGGCTGCCTCCGCATGCAACACTGGCGAACAAATAGCAGTCAGTGTATCTTGCGACTTCATCATTTACAGCCCAGTTGTTTCTTCCTGTGATGAGTGATTTATGCCTTTAAAAGTTCAAGGTTTAGAATAGCCAAGATGTTCAGAGAGGATTGATGAGGCTTATTAGACGTTAAAAGCTGCCTGTGTTATGCTTGGGTGAAAGAATCATTAGAGGAACTCCACTTTTTACCTGCAGTGAACCAATTAAGCGCTGTGTTTATAGTTCCATCGGTGCAGGGTCCCCATCTTGTTTTAGCAAAGACTTCAATGTGAGCACAGATATTTTATTATTAATGTTTAATGCTAACATTCGCAGTTTGTGTGTGTGAGTTATTAGCGGGGAAAAAATGGTGATGGCACTAAACTCATGTCATAAGAGTACTAATTATAGCATTTTGTAAATGGCGTAGATAATACTATATCTAGTGTGTAGGCAGAAGGCTTTACAGATGGTAGTGTCAGTTGTTGAGTCTGTTCAACCTATTCGGGCATAGTAAGATGTCTTGGCAACTAGCCACCTTGCTACAGAATTTGTAATGCATGATCATGTTTTAGAGACCCGCTGATCAGGCAAAAGGTCCAGCTGTCTTGTACACAGAATATCAAAAGACAAGTTGACAGACAAATGTCAGGTTTAGTTTCACATCTATATACATTTTCTTATTTGACTGTGGTGGCATAAGAAAACAAAGGAGCGCAGACATATTTTTTTAGATATATATGCATACAAATGTGATATATGATATTGTTTTATTTTGTAAAACCAAAACATCTTTGTGCCAAACTGCAGGAGTGGCAGCGTTTCGGGTCTCACCCTCAAACTCATCCGCACGTCGGTCAGCAAGATGCTGGAGACCCTCTCTGACGACGACTACGTGAACGTGGTCTATGTGAGTATTCCCGCAGCTAATACTTTGATTTCTTCTCCAGTGGAAATAAACGTGGCTCATACTAGCACTTACTTTAGAAACAAAAACCTGTCCATGAAGTTCTTATGATTCTGTGTGTGTGTTGAATTTCCAGGTGCACACATTGCTGAATGTTAATGTGGACATTATGGCTCAGTTGTTTGGTTTGAGTCAGTGGTTTAAACATGGCAGTGACCTTTTGAGTGACTCAATGTACCGCACATGGATGGATCTTTATTATGGCTGCAGATGTGCATGGATGCAGGCATGCTTCTGTGATCATTTGTCTGACTCAAAAGAATTTGTGCGTGTGCATATATTTATATATATACTCTGTATGTGTGTATATGAGTCTCAAGAGCTGAGTCCAAGTATGTGTGCCTAATAGAGCGAACGCATGACACAGCTTGAGCAAACCCTGAAATGTCAGGAGATAAATTTGACAAATGAACGTGTGCTGTATTTATGACCCATGCTTTGAATCAGTGGCATGTAAGGGAGAAAGCTATCCCGCCTATTTGACATTCTGTAGAAATCTCAGGCGCAACAGATTTACTGACAACTGGATTGAGGAAATATTCATCTATCATCATTTGTTGCTCCATTGCTGCATAAGTCAGATTCATGCTTCCTGGCACTATTAGTTGTGTGAAGGAAAAAAAAACAACACACTTTTAAGTGGTTACAGTGGTTATTTCCTTCTATTGGAGGAGTTTGTGAGCGGTCTCGAAGATGTTCTATGGGCAGTCGCACTGGGAATGATTTGCAGGACTAAAATACTTAATTTTAGATTATTTTTAAAAAATCTATAAAAAAAATCTATAAAATCTACGCCTTTATATTGTTGCCAAGCAACTATGAAACTGGTGTCCTTCACTTAATGAGCGCTAATGTTGTTAGCTTTCCACATATAGGTATTTTCTGGAGGAAAAAAGAGTGAAGAGAATTAAACACGACCATTTTTTCCATTGAATACAACAAAAGAAGATCCTCTTTCTGAAACATTTCCTTCTTTATCTATTCAGATAAAAATAAAAAAAGATAGACCAAAAGTTTAAAATTGTGGGACACATGCTGACTCTCTTTCTTGCCAATAGCTCGATGAGATGATCGACACCGCTCTCGTGTCTGTTTGTAAGATAAGGCTGCAGCTAGCAGCTGGTTAGCTTAGCTTCGACACACTACTCATTTGCATACTGCTTTAAGCTACTCTCTTGTCTTTTTGCGATCTGATAAACTATTTTCTCTGCTCTTACAGAATGTAACATAACAAGGCGACATTTACATATGTTTTAATGAACGAGTGGGGCATGGATCACCAGTGCTTCTTTTTTGTTATTAGAATGCATTAGTCCACCTCCAGCATACATGTGGCTGCAATCCTCCCCCTATTAATGCCCATTTTTCTCTTTTTTCCAAAGTTATAAAGTTACTAAAGATGCACATTTTAAAAATACCTCGCTCCAGTTACTTGCATACATCATGTACGTTGATGTGCCTGCCCTCTATGTAAAATCTCCTTCTTAATCCTTATTCGTCTCCTCTTTGTCCCTCTAATGGAAGGGGGAAATTAATGATTTTCATAGTTTGCTTTCCAAATAAACCATTAATTACATTTTCTTTCACTTCCCTTAATAAAGCAATGGTTTATGTTTTTGTTTGGAAATTTCCAATCAGCTAAGTGAACGGGCTTTTGATGTTGATTAAATAAGGCAGCGGTGTCATAAGTATATTGAAGGCATCCAGCTCAGTTCGTAGACCTTCATAAGCATTTTGAAGATTCTTTTGAAGGTAGGCTACAATCTGTTACAGCCTTTCATAATAGAGTAGTACAGTACATCTATTCATGTATTTCTGGATTAAGCAAAACGTGTCCTGTGTCCTTAGAGCGAACATATACAGTATCAATCATTATCATTATGCTTCCTTTTGCAATAGTATGATGTGCTGTGACTACTCCGAGGTGTCTCACTCACACATGCGTAAACACACACAACTTTTCAACCAGAGAGAGTGAAGACAATTCTGTAACACCTACAGAACCTTAATTCCCTGAACTTGAATACAGTATAACACCTGTGATACTTTATCTTTTTATATACACAAACGTATATAAAGAACATGCCCTCCTACAGTATGCTGTTCTACTGAGCTTGTATTACGGTGTCTGAGATATTTTAAGATGTCTTCTATAAGTCAGAAGTTCTAACGCACACTGCTTCACATTGTTGTGTGTGTGTAGGCGTGAATCTTTTTCAAGGACAAATGTCTTGGCAGGATACTTCTGCCAACATGAATAGCAACATTGAATAGGTGGAAACAGTCAGTGTGAGCTGCAGCATCCTTCGGCGTTCTGAAAACGTAACCCCATGTGAATAAAAGAAAAACAGCAAAGAGATGCTGATGGTGAAAGTGTGTCCTTTGCTTGCGCGTCCTGGCTGTTATGGTCCTTGTTATCTCAGTTTTTGCAAATGTTTCGAAAACATTCCTTTATGCTTCTGAGAATAACTTTGCTTCTTCTATTGTAACCAATGCCCCTTTTAATATTTGGGCTACTTTGCCTCTATTATACTAACTGTTGCTTTAGCAACTCACTTAAAAGCTGACAAAACTGTCAGTCATCTCAGAATGACTTGACTTTGTAGCGACCCCTGTCATTGTACTCAATGATCACAGAGTTTAAGTCTCTCTAAAGTCTAATCTTGTCATTCGTATTTGACATTTTATGTAACGTTTTTTTTCTGTGCTTTTATGTAATCTTTTTTATGTAATAGAATTCCACCTAGACTTTTAGATGATAAGGAAGACTTGAGCAAAATGTAGTATTTGTGGACCTTTGTGCATTTGTTTTTCCACATGATCATGATTGCAAAGCTGCAGTCTAGGCTAAAACAGATGTTGGGTATTAATGAGCCATGTCCCAGTCTTCCATAGGTACTGTGTGTGCGTGTTCGTGTGTGTGTGTGTATTGATAGGGTTCTGTCTGTGCCTCCACATTAACTATTCACTAATATTAATCTGCTTTACATGTAGAGCTGTATGATTGTAATGTAACCAGTCAGAGTAATGTCTGTCTCTATGGCATAATCCCTCCATAATCAAGCTCTTTGTTTTGTTTTTTTACCTCCTTATGCCACTGTTTTCACATCCCTACCTGCTCTCCTGCCAATCCTTCCTTCTGCTCCTATAGCTCCCTTCGGTCTGTGCAGATTTTGATTAAGACTGATTTCATTTCACACATGACAAATTTTCAGCAAAGCCAAGAATTTAAAAGTCATTAAAGTTATAACATTTTGCCAATAATTATTTTATAATTTATTTGATGTAAAATGGAATCAATTTAATCTCTGTTACCTTATCTTAAGCCAAGCCAATATGTTTAGGGGACACCGCATGACTCCGTGACAGAGAGAAAACAGGCCGCATATTTAACAGAAAATATGTGCAAGTGCCTTCCCTCCACTTCCCATCATCCCTCCTTCCCTCTTCCCTCCAGTTCAATGACAAGGCCACGTACGCGGCGTGCTTTCAGAACCTGGTGCAGGCCAACGTCCGCAACAAGAGGATGCTGAAAGACGCTGTGCAGAACATCACAGCCAAGGGTATCACCAACTACAGAGGCGGCTTCGAGCTGGCCTTTGAGCAGCTCGCGCAGGTAAAGTGTCAGCGTGGGCGTGCGTGGTGGAATATCTGTGTGGTATCTGAAGAACATAAGGGCGTAGGAGTCTATGTGTAGTCGTAATGTTCAGGACGTTGCTGTCAAGCTGTTGTTGTTTGATTATCCTATCCGACAATGGCTCTTGGAATGTGCAGACCAACCCAGAGGCTTGATGAAACCCTGTGAAATCTACTTGACAGTCTGATATAAGTTCTGTCAATTTACTTTATGATTTTCATTCAATTATGAAAATAATGGCGGAACAAAGGACTCACTGACAACTCAATCCCAGTGTCCTATTTTAAGAGTGAGTATATGGCGTACTCTTGTGGTTTTTTTTGGACATTGCAGATGTTTTGTAGAAGAGCTCATGTTTCCCTTGCCATCTTCTGTAACTATACATAAATAGGCATTACAAGACCCTTGAATTATTTTTGCAGCCGCTTCTTCAATCTGTCCCTAACAGCAATAAGAATGTGTTGTTCTATTGTTTCCCTCGGTTAAATAGTGGTTGAAACACAAACTTTGTGTCCCCTAGATGAATGTGTCAAGGGCCAACTGTAACAAGATTATCATGCTCTTCACTGACGGAGGAGAAGAGAGGGCGGAGGAGATCTTTGAAAAGTACAACCCAAAGCAAGCGGTAGGACCGTAAACGCAAGATGTTCAGAGAGTAGACGACAGCAGTCTTTGCTTTTGCACCATATTCATTTTACTCTTCTTCTCCTCACAGGTGCGCATCTTTACATTTTCAGTAGGTCAGCACAACTACGACAAAGGACCAATACAGTGGATGGCCTGCGCTAATAAAGGTACGACGTTTGCATCAGACATGCGCCGCATATCTGATGTGTATTCTTCAGCAGGATGAAGAAAATAATATAAAGAGCCCAACTGAGATCTAAATGTAAACAAAGTAATGTTGATGCCCTGACACAATTTGGTTTCGTCAACCTAAAGAAACAGACAACATTAGAATAGTATATGAATATGCCGTGTTGTTAAAATGTGCTCCACTTATTCGGCCATTTGAGCTTTTTGACGGGGTAATGCCATCTAAATGAAGTCTCACAATGAATGCTATAATAAGCTTTTATCTTTGTCTCAGGGTACTATTATGAGATCCCGTCTATAGGTGCCATCAGGATCAACACTCAGGTAAACTCAGATTACGACACGACCGTAATTACTCTTATTTATCTATGAATGGCTGCTACTTTACTCGTCTGTCACTCCAGCCCTCTCCCTGGCATACTTTACCAGTTGTGTATTGTGCCCTCTTGTGGTGGAACGACCGATGTGCATGTGATAAATTTAAAAAAAACTGATGCCGGTCTCTCGTTCTTCTTTCCAGGAATACCTGGATGTTTTGGGCAGGCCTATGGTTAAGGCTGACAGAAGGGCCAAGCAGGTTCAGTGGACCAACGTGTACCTGGATGCTCTGGTACGTCATGTGTAATAACAGACACACGTTTCATGTAAATACAGAACTCACTTCGTGGGAAAAAGACATTGGTAGTCAAATGTAGAGCTCTGCAAGAATGAGAAAAAAAATCTGTTTTCTGTCAGACAAAGAATTCCAAATAAGTCTTCAACATTTTCTGTTTGTCATCCCGGTAAACTCAACTTCAACTCTGTTCAAGCAGTGTTTGTGAAAGGACATTATTTTAAAAGAAATGCTGCATCCACAAGTTTTTTGTGGTGCTTAGGCTTCTGTCAAGATGCACTTTTAGGCGACAGCGTAGATAAGAAACCGGTCTGGTAAACTGAGCCAAATGGTTTGGGTGTGTTGTCATTCGTTCTACTGATAAGAAGCTGTCAACGTTTGTGACTGTGTTGACCTGGCCCGGCATCAGAAATGTCTCTGCCTTTTGTAACGGTAAACAGCTCATTTTCAAGCTGCAGCTGCTAAATGTTTTTTTATTAATCAGAGGAATCATTTAAGAATTGAAACACACCATGAAGTATGCTGTGAATTTATATCATGAGTGTGATTGATTGACCTACATTGCTAATAACTATTCAATATGTTGTGTGTCTTCCAGGAGCTTGGCCTGGTGATCACTGGCACTCTGCCCGTCTTCAACAAGACCAACACAGGCTCAAAGGTAGACAAAAGACTTTTGGATTCTCATGTTGCTCAATTTATGTGGATTCAAATGAACCAATTCATTTTATAGACACATTCATTGTAAGTTCTTTCATTCTTTTATATTAAACATGCTCATTTCCAGAGTGTTTCTTTATTCACTCACTCAGTTGAAGCTTACATTTACTGTACATCTGACACTTTGACCCCTTGGGAGAATTTAAGTCTGCAGTTTTTGTGACACGCTATAATGTTTACCAGACTAAAAAAAAAAATAAGCAAACACACAACCTGAATACTACTCAATCATCGTCTCATCCTTGACTTTCATCCTCCTCTGTCTTGTGGCTCTTCCTTATATCCTTTGTTGACGCTGAGGTCCCTCAGAGCTCTCCTACGTGCCTCCACAGGAAGACGTTCTAGCATGCCATGAAGCAAAAAAATCAAAAAGAGATCAAACCTGCAGATCAGAGAGACAAATGATCCGGTAGCTAAGTGCTTCAAGATGCGGTTACATGTCTACCTCGAAGGACTCGGGGGTTACCTCCGCTATGGCTGAAGATGAAGGCTGGAAATGCCTTGTCAGTGACTCATGGCGGCATGTAAAGCTTTTGGGAATGAGGCTGTCCAGATTTCTATTGCACCCCATTTCCGTGAAATCATTCAGAGTGCGCAGAGGGACTTGACTCATCCAGAAAGAACAACAGGACTCCTAAGTGGGTCTAACAGTGACTCGTTCTACCCCTGACTTCCTCTTCTTTGTTTTCTTTCAGAAATCTCAAAACCAGCTCATCTTGGGGGTTATGGCTATTGATGTCTCCCTGGAAGACATCAAGAGACTGACTCCTCGGTTTACTGTAAAAGCACACACTACATAAATAAACACATAGAGAAACCAGCCTGTTTACACAGTAGATAACATAGTTGGTACCTGGGTTCCTCCATCATTCCTTTCTCTGTATATTTCCCTTTTTCCTGTAGTTTGGACCAAATGGCTACTACTTTGCCATTGACCCCAATGGATATGTGCTGCTCCATCCAAACCTCCAGCCAATGGTAAGACAAATCACTCGACTAAGACATCACCTCTGCTGCAGATACAATGGTGGCCTGAATTACCACACTGGGTTTTTGTTTGTGTCACTTGGCGGACTTTTCAGTTCTTTTTCTAAACTGTCCCTATGACACGGGTCCAGAATGATGTTTGTTGAGACATAGCAAGATGTTTCTCTTCTGTAGGCTCTTCTTGTAAACCACGCATGCACACATTGGTCACAGATGTTTACATCTTTCAAAAGTCAGCGTCAATATTTACATTTCTCCATGATTGGTTCCCTGTCACAAAAATGTAATTATCAGAATCTGTTTTGGAGACAATGTGAATAACCGATGTTTACTGCTTAATTTTTCTCCTTAAAGTCAAAACCCACTGATTATAAATGATAGTAATTACTTGCATTTCCATGTAGACTGCCAAGTTTGATGAACCTGTAACGCTGGACTTCCTGGATGCAGAGCTGGAGAATGCGATCAAAGCGGAGGTTTGGAAAATACATTACTCAAAGTCTTGTGATTCCATGAGCTCATATCAGAAAGAACAAAACAATAATTTCTGAATATGGAATTATTATTTTTTTTTCAAATTGGTTAATTGATTTGCGTTTGGTTATTTGGTCAACAGATGAGAAAAAAAATGATCGACGGTCTAACAGGGAATTACACAATACCTGGATTGGTGAAATCCCAAGATGAGGTAATTTTATTTTGAAACAACGTTGGAGTCCATGACAGTTATTCACACTTTGCTGAGGAACTGTAATGTGTACTGACCAAACTGCTGCTCTCAAAGCGCTACATTGACGTGGGTCAAAGGACGTACACCTTTGCGCCAGTGAAGGGGACAGATTACAGGTAAATATCATATGTTAAGTATGAAGTGATGAATCCGATGCATGTGTTAAGTACTGTTTACCAAACTTCAGACTACAAATAGAGGAACTCCAGACACAGTTTGCAAAATGTTCATCGTAATTGCACAAAACCCATTTTGTTCTCTTTAAGACTGGAGCTAGACTGTGGTCTTAAGTTCAGGACAATGTCCAGGCACACTTTAGAGTGATCTAGGGAAGACATGAGGGGCGGAAATTCAGCCTTCTGTTAAAAAATGCTTCGCAGAACTTACTGAAAGATATGCTATGATGATTTGCTTCCCAAAACAAAGAGGGGATCATGCAATGTTGTTATGGTAATGTTTTCACATGTGAATCGGTTGGTTGAGCAAGGTTATGTTCATGAAGTTATTGCCTCCGACAATGAAATGCTTACATGAGTCAGCACTGCAGTGAAACAGAAATAGAGATTTACAAAAATCTACGCAAAAACTTTCGTAAAATAGTTGCAAAAAATGATTAGATGATACTATATATAGAAGTAATAATACAAATACATGTTGTTATGATATTTTGTGTTTTTGTATGTGTGTGTGTGTCTTCTCTCAGCCTGGCTCTGGTCCTTCCTGACTACAGTCTGCATTACATCCGGGCCAACATCGCTGACACCATCACCCAGGCAAAATGTAAGCGCCACCTAAATCAGTTTAGTCGCCTGTTCCATTCTTAGTTTTTCCACTCAGTAACATTTACCTTTCATTAATACAGACAGTAGACATATGTTGCTGGTTGGAAAATGATTGCTAATGTTCTCCAGTGACATTATTGCTCTCCGTGTAAGGCTGAGAAACACTTGTTCCTCAGCTTATGGTTCCTATCCATCGCGTATAGTGCCCCATGCACATACAGTATACAAGCACATGCATCTACACTAACCCCCTGCATGCCCTCGGCTCTTGTATGGCAACGCACACCCTCTTTTGTGGTGCTGTTCAAAGTTTTTTGTTGCCAGACAGCGGGACGAGTGGCTCCAGTGTCCCCTTTCACACATCATCAATTCATTTACAGCTTAAATAACTTGCTCTATGTGTGTGTCTGTGTGTCTACAAGTGGCTGTGTGTATGTGTTCATGATCAAGCCTATTGGACAACATACAGTAGATCAGAGGTTCCATATGTGTGGCGTTGTCGTCTGATGTCTCTTGAGGCCTGTCTGTTCCCACTAGTAAAAGATGTCATTGACTCATAGTGTTACACAAAGGACAGTTTTATAGTGTGTATCTGTGTGTGTGTGTGTGTGTGTGTGTGTTAACTGCAGATGGAGCCATCCCTGTTTTAGAGTCTGTCCCTCTGTCCGTGTGTTTTTCTGGTCTGCCTGGCTGCACTCGGTAGCCAAAAGTGGGCTTTAAAGAGCGTTTTTTGGTGACTTTGTAATGCACAGCAATCAATGAACAAACTATTTTCCTGAAGTATATCGTACATTAGAAGCATAATTTCCCACCTTCAGCAATTGGCTACTCTTTATTCCAGAAAGCTGGGAAAGTCAACTGGCAGAGACGTGAAGCTTGCATGACATTGGTAATCCATCACAGTGAACATTTCATCGCCTTCAATTTTTTTGCGAGCCGGTGTTAATTACGTGCGTTCGTGAGCAGGGACCAGTTTCTGTTTGTTGATGCCTTAAGCATGTTCAAATGTCTGAGTTGTTTTTGTTGGCTCGGCAGCTGAATGAGACAAAATGAAAAATGACACCAGAGGACGCAACAAAAAAAGACGATATCCGTAAACTTACTTACAGAGAGAGTAACGAACTTTGACAAAATAAAGGTAAGAAATGCAAGTATCTGATCTGATTTCGACATAAATAGCAGACAATGGCTTCTTAAATAGTTGGGGGGGGGAAAAATATGAACAATAGTTGTAATTAATGCTAAAGCATGGACGGCCAGTGATTAGGTCATTTTTATATTATGAAGCCACTGTGCACACAGGCTCCATTGTCATTTCAATGTCATTCAATTGCAGGAGCCTTACCTTATCTGCAACCATGCCCACTGCAATGCCAAAACCCAACTCTAAAACCAAGTGCAATGGATAATCTAGTTAAGACACTTTGTGTGACTACATGAACTACATGGTTTTTTTTTTCTCCACTACCTCGTAATTTATACACACACACACACACAGTACATCTCAACCTTCTTAAACTCCAAGTGTTTTGTACTTTTGTATGCAATATTCTTATTCAAAAACCCATTTGAATAAAATATTGTGGGTGACCCTGTTGTCTTATTTCCTTTACTGCTCTCTTTTCCAAATCCCTCGTTCCTCCTCATCTTTTTATCCTCCTCCCTCCTCCTGTTCTCCTGCCCTCCTCAACTCTTGACCATTCCTGGTGTGTTGGAACCCCCCTGCAGCGTTTTTGGGCAAGTATTCTCCTCCTGTGCTTTACCTCCTAACCCCCCCCCCATCTTCTTTCTCTCACACTACCGGCAGACTTTGGATGTAACTTCACTTCCAGTCGGTTCATCATATGTGGTGTTGCGGACTCATGAGCACAGAAGCACTTTGTTTTCTGTTTTTCTTCATTTAGTGGCTTCTGATTAATAATGACAACCCCGTTACACTGAATCAAGCTGGCGTCTGCTCTCAGAAGCAGCGCTTCGCATGCAATGCGCGCCCACACAGCGTGTCGCAGATGGCGTGGGTGTGTGTGTGTCTGTCTGCGCAATGCATGTATTTGACCCCCACCTGTTCCAACGGCCCTCAGATGTGGTTTTGGCACTAAACTGTAGCAGGAAGAACAGAGGACAGGGTGTTTGCATTATTTAAAGGTGAAGCCATAAAGGAGAAAGCTGTGAGTCTGCACCACAAAACATGAGTCGGTGTGTTTTCTTTAGTTTTCTCTCCTTGACTCACTTTGAGTTTTACAACCTTGTTAAATAAGTCCTAATGAAAGACAGGATCCCTCTTAACACACTGAGCTCCATCTCTTCTGTACGTCCTTCTGTGTGCTTTGTCATCAGTCCTGTCTTGTTTGTGGTCATTGAATCAAAACTCTCCACAGAACACATTTAAGCTCCGTGGTTTAACTGAAACTGAAGCCCAATTTCTGTCTGCTATATACTATTTCCAAAGGGCGAACAAAAAATGTCACTCAAGTGAACTGAAAACATATCATGTCCTTATCCCCACATGGATTTGTGAAGTTGATGCAGGTCATTGACGTCAACGTTGCTGTGTGTGAGATTGATTCGTGCTGAAATCCATTCCCTTCAGACGGATTGTAGCTGCATGTCTTAGATATTGAACTGATTCAGTTATTCACGAAATGTTAACAAAAGTGGCAGGAACGTCATTGTCGGTGTGAAAAGGCATGAGAGAGTGCAGGAAATATAAGCAGTCGTCACTCCCCAGATCTCCCTGCTATCCATCATTACTAAATACAATGTTGGATTAGTAAGTGGTGACCGAATATCTAAAGAAAAAACACATGGGTGCAATTATTTCCCAATCATGACCACCAAAGAGGACAAGGAGTAGCCCATGTCGTCATGAGAAATTTAGCTGTACAGTATAATCAACTGTCGACGCGACATGCTTTGGAGAATGTCAAAGGAACGTGAAGGTTATGAGCTGTGGTTCATTTTCTCCTATGTGCAGTATTGTAATGCAAATACATCAGTCAAGTGCAGTAACTCCACAGATTTACTGTATCGCTCCACCAAAAGCATGGTAATGCTAAAAACACGTCTGCATCATAACGTTAAAGATGTCTGACCACATTTTAAGCCCACTCTTTGTGTTCTCCATCAGCACTGTCTCCATTTACATCCAAAGGCCTAAAACCGTTTGTTTGGAGTGCAATATTTCTATTCAGGACTCGCTCTCTGAATAAAATATTGTGTCACCTTTGACCCCTGTGGTTTTACCCTGTCTTTTTTTCCCCCATTCTTTTCCCTCTCGTCTTTACCTCCCCGGGGGATGATTCTCTTGTTCGCTCACTTTCTCTCTGCTGGGATTTTTTTCCACTCCAGGGAAAGATGGCAAGTATTTTTTTCCTTTTTACTTTCATGTCTTTCCTCTTGTTTGTGAGCCTTGTTGGCCCAGCACGTCTGGCCAAACCTACTCTGGTCCTTTTTATTGATAACTGATTTTCAGCTGTTTGTGTAAGACTGTATTCTTTAGTGTTTCATTTATGTGCAGTGTAAAACTGTCCAAAACTTTTGCTTCGGTTAGTCATTTTTATGATTTATGTGGTAAATATAGCTTTTGGTTTTTCCTATTCCTCTTTGTGGGTACCGAAACTTTACAATTCTACCTTGCATTTTGACTCAGGACCTTAAGCATAAGAGTGAAATTGAAGGCATGTGGCCATGTTGAATATATGGAGCTATGGTGCTAATGTTTTACCGCTCAGAGACGGAATCTCATTTCAGTTTTTGGTGCACGTAGGACATATTCAACAGGTGTTACATTCTACCCTATGGAGCACTATCTCAGCTACATACAATGATTATTTCGGTTTAATGTAAGCCTAATATTATCCTGCATGGGAGGAAGATCAATAATACTTTATACCTCTCACCAGTTTCTGAAAGCCTGATGGCGGACAAGTTTGATGAATATGGCTATACATTTATCGCACCGAGGTAAGCCGGCACGTAGTTTATTCTGATTACATTTTCCTAACCATTAGAAAAACATGTTTCCTTTAAACTTCTAACATGACGACCATGACTATACCATGACTATACCATGGCATAGAGGCAAATTTCAACCTTGTGAATCACTTGTTTTTTTCTGCTTTCACTAAGAGAACGCTTTTGTTTCCCACAGGATGTACTGCAAGGACTTAAAGCTACCTGACAAGAACAAAAACAACACGGAGTTCCTCATTGAGTTCAACGATTACATTGACACAAAGACTCCAAACAACCCCATGTGTGAGTATCAGAAAATGAAGAAATGTTCTCCGAAATGCTTCTTTCCACCTTACATGCTCCTGGCGCCTTTAACTAAGGCATTTATCTTGAGAATAAAAGCTTTTACACTGGATGTTATTGTACTCCGCAGTACACTTGGACCTCATTCTCGCTACAGGCTCCTGCAGTATTTGCATCTCAAAGAGCCGCTAAGCTTTACAGTATTTGCTGTAGTATGTATATGTGAATGAATCTTAGCCATCTGGCTTGACATTAAGGTGTGCATTGAACATTTAATGGAAGAGCGCCAACAGAAACCTATTCCCAAAGGTCTCTCTTTCCAGTGAAATACAAGTCTGGCTTGATGGTTTGGTGTGCATGACCGGGCAAAGCTTTGTGATGTGGAACCCCTGTGTTCGTGTTACCCATTTGATGCTAACTCTAAAAGTCTGACCATCACACGCCTGAGTGCACATGTGTGAGGCACGTCGGCTTAGATGTGACACACGCTCACACACACACACACACACACACACAATATTCACCAGTAATATGCCTTCCACACCCCACCTATAGCCGCTCGACCTCATCCAATTACCGTGTGTTTGTGAGAAAGAGCAGGACACGTCAAGCCAGGAGCACGAGAGGAGCAATAAAACACAAATCAGGGGCCAGTGGACCTTCTCCTAAACATCTGACCAACGCATTAACATCCTCGCCATTTCTTGTACGCTCATTGATATGCATCGCTCACGTTTTGTTGCCCATTGAGTTGAACAGAAAGGTCCCCAGATATTTATAAAAGATCTGCTTTAATTTTGGTTTGACGAGTTCAGTTTGAGAGCTTAGTTCGAGCATCTCAACATGATCAATCCAATAAAACTTTTCACCCAATTGAAATACTACTTTCACCATTATTAGCTAGGACTCCATAGGGAGTTCAGAGGGAGAGAGACTATGGCCCATGTGGACTATTGGCGGTCTGAGTATCGTTACACACTTTACTTGGTTAAGCCACTGCAGTGGCGAAGAAGTTAAAGTACATTAGGAATTCCTGGGCTGCCTTCAATAAAGGATCGCTAATGAAAACCACTGCACGAGGAGGGAAGGTGGAGTAGGGGGGAAATAAAGTGTTACACCAGCTGTTTTCTCTGATGTGTGTGGTGTGTCATAAAGGTTTGAGTAGGGTGGGGGTATAGCGACGAGCCTCGATGTTAATGGACTGAAGTGGGTCGTCTCAGAGTTCAAAGTGGCTGGCAGTGCCAAAAAAATGGGCGAGCGGCTTTTATCTCTTGTTATTTTTGTCATGTGGTCTTGTCAGACGTCTTGAAAAAACAATTTGTTAAACCTATTCCAACCCACCACCTACACCTTAGCAGGATTTGCCGCATTCATCAATACTTTTTGTGACTTTAAATACATATTTAATTGCTCTAGCTTCACTATAAGATTGTGTCTGTTTTGTGTCTGAGATACAACCTTTTATTCACGGACCTACCTTCTTTCTAACAGAAGTCATCCCTTGGTCAAATTGGTTCTCTTTCGTTCCCTTAAACTTAGATTGCATTTGGACCTTTTAGGTGCTTGTAAGTCTAGCAATATATCAACTGAAGCTAATTCCTACATTCCAATTTACGTTTCATTTTGGATGGATTAATGCTCCCCCGGCATTTGTCTTACATATTCCAATTACAGATTCTTCTTTCGCAGACTTTTTAGGCTTGTCTAAAATAAGAAAAAAACGATAACATCATCTTATAAAGATGAGACACTTAAAAGACAGTTAATCATTTACTTTCTTGACAGTCAACAGACTCACAAATGGTATTCAAAGATACAGTCACATTAAGTTTAGGCTCAAGTGATGTTTTGCTGTTTAGGTAATGTAGAGCTGGTGAACCGATTGCTCCTGGATGCTGGCATCACCTCGTCTCTGATCAAGCATTGGAAAACAACCGAATTACAGTAAGTGAAGAACAGACATTTTGCATCTTTACCATCAATGATGTTTTCATGATCCAGCAAAACATATGGAAATGTGGCATACATTTTTTGTTATTTGGTAATGAATGTCCAAGTGAAAATGTAATACAGATGGTTCAAGTATTTCAGCATCACCAGTAAATGTCATGCAAGCATAAAGCACATTCCAGTTTTTGTAATTGTATGCTTTATTGCTTTATCTTCTCTGCTTGTCAGGCATGGTGTCTTGGCCAGATTTGTTGCCACCGATGGAGGGATCACGCGGGTCTACCCCAAAAGGTACTTGTCAAGCTCATGGGAAGGAGGGGAGCAAGGGAAGCATAATATGTTCAGGATAATCTGATAACAAATTATGATGTGGTCTGCTAAGAAACCTGCAGCTTACCCATGAAGTGCTTTATATTCTATAGATATCATTTTGAACATTCATTCCTCCATTCATTGTCATTTGTTTGAGTCTGAGTCATGATGGTATCTGGTGAAGTAAAGCAGGCCAGTGACCACCCAAAGACTGACTATAGATGAGGGTTGGAATGTAGATTAACTGGTAAATTGAAAACCTCATTATCATGCTTGCATCCCTCTTCTGAATGACAGTCCAATATAATGACCAGTGGTGTAGTAGGTCTGAGAACAGGACACTGCAATCTAATCAGGATAAGGTTTTCAGTATGTTACAGTGACATATTACATGTCTCGAATGTTTTTTGAAAGTAGAGGATGAATCAAAGTTCTGAGATTTGGAATGTATTGCAGACATCAAGGGAGAAGGCACATATACCTTGGGAGTGACAAACATTTTTTGTTATTTGTGTTTAGGAGCAGGAAGCTCGTCATGAATTACCAGCATATAACATGTGTTCAAGATCAGTGAATAGAGCAGGGTCATCTTTAAGAGACAGAAATTGAATGTAAGGTTTCATCTGCATAAAAAATATATTTTTAGCATCATATTCTCAAAGGATATTGCCAAGTGGAAGTGTTTAAAGGGAAACTGAAGTAGGCCCAATACAGGTCCTTGAGGTACCCCAGAGGAGATATAATGACAGTCAAAGTTGCTATTATTGAACATCACTCACTGTATTCTATGATGTAAAGATGACTTGAACCACAGCAATACATTAATTAATGCTGATGCAAATTTAGTTTCAAGGTGATCCGAAAGAATATCATGGTCTGTGGTGTTGAAGGCAATGCACGGATCAATCTGGACTATGAGGAGTAATGTGGGACAGCAATCACCAGATTGTTAAAGATCCCCTCCACTCAAAAATACAATATGCTAACTACACTTCCAATCCTGATATGTCTGCTAATCTTCTTGTGTGTTGCTTTGTATAAATGTGTTTGACAGTGCTGGTCTGTACTGGGAAGAAGCAGCTGAGACTTACGAGTCAAGTTTTTATAAGAGAAGTTTGGACAATGATCTGTACATCTTCACTCCAACACCCTACCTCTCTAAAGAGAACAGTGAGTAAAAGCCAACATAAATGTGTGTCAGGTGTGTTTTCCTAGGACTCGATGTGTATGCACACATATACAGTGTTATTCTTCATCTTACAGCAAGTGAGGACTCAGTTCTGGTGAGCAGAGCAGTGAACCTTAACATTGATGATATCATACTCAAACCCGCTGGTAAGGACACACACACACACACACACGCACACAGAAGTGTATTTACACATTTATACTCCTCATTTCTCAAGTTGTCTCTCTTGTTCTGCCACCTATGTAGAAACGCATTCACACTTACAGCTGTATGCTTTATGTACACGCCTATATTTGCAACTCTTTAGTCTCAACCCATAATAATGCCTTTTACTGTAAATCTTCTGACACACACACACACACACACACACACACACACACGGACCCCTATTCCTCATTTGTCTATTTCTCCCTCTGTCATATACACACAAACACACACACACACAAACCACACATCAAATTGTCTGCTCTCCTGTGATCCCTGGCCAAGTTTGCATTTTCGAAGTTCAGAGAGTAAAGTTGACACAGAGGTCCAACATGATCTAGGATGTCTGGCTTTTGTGTTTGATCCCAGTGGTCGGTGTGAAGCTGGACATTGGTGCCTGGATGGCGAGCTTCATCAACACCACACAGAAGATCAATGTGAGTGGATTCTATCTGCATGACACAAGGATATAAACATGGTCCAGATTATCGATCAGACGTTTTATTACTTTTTCTGCTCTCCTGTATTTTCAGTGCAATGATGAGATCTGTGGCTGTCAGCGTAATGACGTGGTAAGAGGTTTGATTGCATATTGCAAGTTTCCAACTATTGTTTTCAGATAAGAGTCTTGAGCATGCAACATTGGTTTAATCTCTATGTGATTCCAGTATGTAGACTGTGTCATTCTGGATGATGGGGGCTTCCTGGTGATGTCCAATCGAGATGAACATATTGATAAGGTGGGCCTCGGCATTTTACTCTCACTCACAAAACTAAAGAGCAAACACTTTCAAATAAGGCGTGCTTTATGAAGGGTTGATGATGGTTACGGATGGCTTTATCAATGATTCATAAAGCCAACATTCACATTTTTTTTGTGTTGTTTTTGCAATTACTAACAATGACAATTCAGGCTCATAATCGTCATCTTTACAGACGCATGTACAGTAAGCATACCATTTTTCTCCGCTAACCTGACCCTATGCTAAATGCTAATAGTGGGTCCCTTGCTGTCGTCTGAGTAAATGTTTTTTCATGCGGCCTCGGCTCCTTCTTAATCAGGCCTGGGTGTGCGCCGGATAAATCAGTGACCCTCTGAAGTTTGGCAGCAGCACTTAAACCCAGGCAGGGACCTGAGGCCTTGTTTGGAGAAGGCTGTGTGCCCTCAATCATATTTCCTACAGGAGCAGGAGTTTCTCCCTCTGTCAGCTTCCCGCTTTCTCTCCCATTTTATGTCTTTCGTTCCTTTTCTTTCTCCGAAAACCCTCGGGGAGTCTGCAGCCAACAGGGCTGTGACTGTTAATTCATTATTTGTTTTACTGCACAGGGAAAGGAGAGAAGGCTCCCTTTACCTTATAGAATCGAAGATTTATATATCCTTTGGCTGTTAGACTAAAGAGGAATGGATATGTGGAGGAGGGCTTGTTAACGGTGACCTTACAAAGTGGAAGGAAAAGGATAGTTTGCATTTCCTCATGCGCACACGCATGCACGCCTTTCGGCACACACACACACGTAGATGAGTACTACTTACTGTACAAACTCCCTCCTGGACACAAGTACTTAAACACTCCTGTGCACACGGTCATGTCACACCTGCCGAGACAAACTACTTCCTCTTCGTGGAAATTTATGGCTGCCTGGTGGATTGTGTTAATCAGATTATTCTGAAGTCCATCATCCTGGTTTGAATGTGATTTACTGAGTTTGTGCGTGTGTCTGTTAATTCACTGTGGACATTGTCTGCACGTGTATTCACATTCTTAATTGTTTTTGTGCATGTGTTTTACATAGATTTAACAATCGTGGGTTGAACCTATGAAAGTGTTTAAGTGCTCTGTAATTTAAAGTATTGAGGAAAACCTCAGTCATTAACATTAGCATTTAAAAAAGAAACCTTTGAACCCTCTAAACAGAAATTTAGTAGTAGTGTACAGAATCAATGTGTAGTGCAAGAAAAGAGGGCTAAAAGTGACCCAGCAGTCCTGAGGCACCAAGAACAAAAATGCAGCCATGTGTACAGTATATGGTGTGTTATTTAAATGTTTTAATCTATTTCTTCAATCTATGACCCCATGCTACAAAATTGCTTTCAAGTAAACATTTTGATTATCCTCCCCCGTCCTTAGATTGGGCGTTTCTATGGTGGTATCGACCCGATCCTCATGGTGAACCTGGTCAACTCGTCCCTGTTCACCTTCAAGAAGACTTTCGATTACCAGTCGCTCTGTGACCCTGAGAAAGAGAGCAAGGCGGCTGCAGGCCTGCGATCCGTCTACGTGGTGAGTTACATAAGCCAGAGACCCTTCACACACAAACACACACAAACACATGCACACACACAAAGCCACCCACGTGTGCACACCTACACTTACATGTTCACACATTTTGATAGCCACACATTTACATTTACCCTACAAGTACACATACAGCCATTTGTAGCCTTACCTGCCTGCTCATTCACTTCCAAATGATCACACACACACACACACACAAACGTTTACTCACCAGGGAGCCATAAATCTGGATAGAGCCGATGAGAAGGGAAGCAGAGGGTATGGTGAAAGCGTTAGAGTGGGAGTTTTGCAGGAACAGTAACAGGATTAGGTGGTCTAGCGTGCTTGGCTAACACGACAAGTGATGTAGAAAGAGGCACTGTTTTTCATCACTTACAAATCGCACAACTTGCAATGAAATGATGCAAACTTATCTGCAGACATCAGTGGTGCTGATGAATTTCTCTTAAATGCTGAAAGGCCATTACAGATAGTGGTAACAAGCTGATACCTAAGAGGGAGATTTAAGTATTCATAGGTATTTACAGATGCAAACATTCCCCTTGCTAACAAGTGAAACCATATGATTTCCCGGCTTGCAACACAAATGTGTACACACGCTAATGTGACCCCAAAGTGAGATGAAAGTTGCAGTTATTTTCTCATCAAAGACACCGTCGGCAGCCGGGAATGCCTCTAACACGGTTAGTTAGGACTCCTTGATGACTCAACACGCGCCATCACCTTTCAAGAGAAAGGATGCAACACTCATTCACCAAAACAAGGCCCTTGCATGCTAACACTAATCAAAGCAACATGTTGGCCCTTTTATTCAAAGCTGCTTTGTCTTCTCACTAGCTCTTTGATTACATAGTTATGCTCGCATCTGTTGAGGAGGATTGTTTTCTAATTTCCTCTTGAGAGGGAAGAAAATGGAATGTCTGCCTGGCCTTTTCGTCTTTGTGCCTGGCAAAACGGGACGGTGCAGTCACTGTAAACACAAGCAGGATGTTCAGATTGGCTCAGCCAGTTTAATATGATTTGTCTCGAAGATTATAGACTTGATTTTGTCTTTTTTTTCTGACATTAATCCTCATTTGTTGTCCCCCTCAGCCCACAATTGCAGATATTTTGAATTTAGGATGGTTTGCGACAGCTGCAGCCTGGTGAGTCTGAACTTTTTCTACATGGTTGGCATTACTGTCAACCCATTTTTCCCCCAAATGATTGATAACAAAAATATACACTATAAAAGCCAGTATTTAAACTCAGATCCTAATGGAAAGCAGGCAAGGATTTGTTTCTCCAAAATGGACATATAGCATCTGTTTAATAGCTGAATTGTTCCCAGGACAGTCAGCATACCACAACATCTTCCCTTGATTTATAGTTGCATTAGCATTTACACAAATGATTTATTGTGGATTATGTTCCAATGAATCCAGACATTTTTCATCCCTGGGTTTTTGCTCATAGGTCAATACTGCAACAGTTACTGGTCAGCATCACATTTCCCAATTTCCTGGACGCAGGTGAGTTCTCGTCAATTTGACACAGAAAAGAATTGAGCTTTGAGGTTGTTCCTTTTTTGGGGGAATATTGAGCAAGCTCTAGGCCCGCTTAAATGGTCTCATTAAGGAAATGAAATGTGTGTTCATTTTCACTTTGACAAGGCCTTAAAAGATATTGAACACATTATTTTCAAACTCTTTCTTCATCTTGAATTCTGGTGAAATTCTCAACACATGCCAAGAATATGTAGCCTAGTTAATAACAACATAGTTCATAGGAATACTTTAAAACTCATTTTTCCTCAGAGGAGTTAAAGTGTTTGTTTGTTTGTTATTTTCCATTGCACTTTTTGGATTTCTGGATTTGCAATATGTGGTTTTTAAGCACCACAGGGTCCCAAGAGCCCCCCAAAGAGAAATCCAGTGTGCCCTTGTGTACTTGGATGTAGAGTAGAGGGCTGGCCAGACAGCTCTTACTTAATGCATTCTACATGTATAACAATAAAGTTGCATGAATTTCTTTTTGTAGTGGCAAAGTCAAAATACACATAATTTTTTCAGATTGGCATTCTGCACCACTACAGATCTATGGTTCTAATAAATGTAGTTCCTTAGCTGCGCTAAATAGCTCCATGTTTTTATAGACTATAGATGAAAAGACTGTGTATCGTAGTTCGTTCCCCTTAGCTTCACTGGGCGTTTTAGTGTCTTTCAGCTTTTTGTTTTTGTTTTACGGCAAATTATGTTTCAACAATATTACACTTTAAAGTTTTTATGTGTCAGAGTGAAGACCCTGCTTACATGAATGAACATGAATGTGTTTGTGTGTACCTCCACAGCCGAGATGGATGATGAAATGTCAGATGCCATGCTCAAAGAGGTCTGCATCACAGAGCAAACTCAATATTACTTTGAGACCAACAACCTGTCTTTCAGAGGCACAATCGACTGTGAAAACTGCACCAGGTAAAAAAAAACCTACAGGCTACACACCTGAGTGTATATACACACTGAGAGTATAGTTAACCTCCAAACACACTCCCTACCCTGCACTGATACGTTTGCATCCATGAGACACAAATGAAGTCCCCAGAGGTGGCACTAAGAGAGGGCTGTAAAAAGTCACATGCCATGAAGGTGAAGTCAAGTCACTAGTGTGGACCACCTTCTTGGTCATGTTCCACCGTGTGGTTGTGCACACGTGTGTGTACGTACACCATTTTTAAGGCCCCCTCGTGCCGACTAATGGAGTGCCTGCCCGCATGCCGCGCGGCGTTCCTGCACATTAGCCGCACATTTCTCTTTAACGACCACCATTAAAAAAAAAAAAAAAAAAAAAGCTGAGAAAATAATTTGTGCACCAGCGACATGTGGGTTTCGGTAAAGGTCCTGGAGGACAGCAGGGTGGCACAGCAGGTCTGTGTCCCCTTAGGAATGAAAGCAGTTTGGAGACTTCATTGAGCAATCCACAGTGCGCTTTTCATTGTGGTAAAGATTACAAGGTTTCTTGAGTGTTTCTTAGTCATGTAAGTCTACTTTAAAATCCAAAATTTGTATCTTCCTTTCATTACTTTCTGGTTAAATATTGCACAGCGAAATGTTATCCCCATCTTTCCTGGACTCAAGCCAATGTGTCTGCTCCTCTCTAGACTCTACCATGCTGAAAAGCTGCCCAAGACGAACCTGGTCTTCATCATCGCTGATGCAAAACTCACCTGCACGTCCTGTGACACCAAGCCATTAATACAGGATGAACAGCAGTGTATCCTTTTACCCAACGCAGCCATCATCTGGCAGAGAACATGGACATTTGATGCAGGAAACAGATGTTTGAAGAAGTTTGTGTTTTAGACAAGATAATCATGAATAGACGCTGATCATCTGTAATTCTCTCTACTCACTAAACCCCTCATATACATACATCCACTAAATCCCACAGCCGTAATAATGAGTCAACATTCCCCCAATAATTGATGTTTAAAATGTGTCCCGGAACGACAGATGTGTCTCAGCGCATGCGCTGAGTGTCTCTCTGGCTGTATCTGTGAAGCAGATGGGATGCTTCTGCTGCATAGCTTACAAACAAATCTAGTATGCTCTCTCAAACACACGGGGCTGTGGTCAATTACAGATTAAGCCTCTTGGAAAACTCAATGCTCCAAAATGAATGCATCACTGATGTATTGAGCAATGTTTCTATTTTAATTTGACTGGTTCCGTTTGATCTGGACAGTAATATGATATATCCTAGTGATTTCCCACATTATCAAAATGTTATGTTTGATCATTTTCTGTTGGCTAATCAGGTTGTCTACTGAAAAAAAAAAGAACTATCTGTTGGTGCTTTTACTAACGCAGAATGGACACATTGTTATGTTCCTGACGTTACTCATCCAGCTAATGGTCCTGATCCCTGTGAGCTGGCTCAGAACCCTCGGTACAGGAAAGGGCCCGCAGTCTGTTTTGATAACAACGAACACGTAAGTTGCTTCCGTCGGACATGGACGGCTTCTGGTTGAGACCAATTTGAACGGTACAGTTGCAAATTGTGCTCTGTGTAGGTTTTCAAGCTGCTAAACTGTGAGACTGTTGCTGCTTTATTAGTCTCTCAAGACTTAAAAAAACGTAAAGATGTTTTGCAGGAAATCCAGCCTGAAGTGGGAAAAGCCTTTCAAATGAATGCGTGTGCCCCCGAGGCTACTGTTTTTGGGTTTCACTGCTAAAATCATTTGAGTTCATCGCCAAGAAAAATCTAGCTTTGGTTCCAGCTTACAGGACAGAGCTTCAGTCAGTACTTCTAGGACTGACAGAACTATGAAAGACCTTAGAAGCTCGGTGGAACTGCAGAGTCGGTTGACAATTCTCTGTGGTTCCTCACTTCGCTCACACCCTTTTCACATTATACATAGTGATTTGATATTATTTATATGAAACTACTGATTACAACAGCTTTAAAAAGAGAATATACATAACAAGGAAAGACAGCTGAAGCAGAAGTTGAACAAACAAATCAAGCTTTAACTGGCCGGACTAAAAAATCAGGACAAACAATTGGAAATTGGCCAACGGAATTATTAACAAATGTTAATCATTACATTTAATGTTCAATCAAGGTATTAAGTGTAAGTGTTAGTTTATAACATCTAACCCTAACCCCCGGAGTTACTGGGTGAGGACATGTCCCCTTGAAGATGAGGGGTGGAAACCGTAATATATTAGGGACCAATAAAAAAAGGACGGAAAAAAAAAGAAATCTAAGCTCTGAATCTCACTGGCCTGGAGCCCAAAATCCTTTAAGCTGCGCTCCTGATATGGAAACAATATTTCAGCGAAGGAATTCTACCCGTGGCACCTTTCCATCACTAATATCTTTACATGGGTGCATTTTGTTTTGTTTTGTTGCAATCCCTCTAAAGCTGTATGTGTGCAGATTCCCCACACAAAGACCAACAGTTGGTTGTTGCTCGACTTTGAATAACTAAGCTGAACAAACATTTTCATGAGCAGCACACAATCTCTGCTTGTGAAACCTCTGCGCTTGAATGCTCTGTTTCTCTTCTGTCTTTTTACAGTGTCAAAATGTGTCAGCCCTGTGAATTAACTCTTATGCCTGCACTGTCTTGCTCACTCGCATACACACTAAAACATCCCCCCCCCACACCCACAATATATATGTCTTGTACTACTATTGTCTAAACTAAGTTCCATGCCTTCTCTAATCATGTTTGCTTTCTAACCTCTTGCTAACTATGTGGACCTTTTGCTGCATGATTCTCTTTCTCTCTCTGTTTCCTCTGTTTCCCGTTCTGTGATTGGCTGTTGCTGGTTAGGATGAGGCCCTGTGCCGAAGGAGCGCAGGCTCCCCATTGGCTTCCTCTCTGCTCATGTTACTGCTGCCACTGTTCATGTGCTGGCTCGGGTCAGTCCCATACTGCTAACTTTCTCTTTCATTGTTATTTTTTTATCATTATCTGACACTCAATCTAACTGCCTTTGGCTCTTAACTTTTACACTCTTTCTCCTGGTGTTTCTATTCTGTTTTTTTTCCTCACCTTGTCTCTTTTTTTTAAATATACATATCTGACTGTTTCTGCTTTGTTCCACGTCTGTGTGTCTTTTCCCATTGTTTTCCCACCCTTATCTTCCTCACCTGTCACTCTCTCTTATGTTCTACCACCATCTGTCTTCACCTCCCCCTAAACTTACCTCCCAGTCTCTTTCTGTCTCGCGAGCTAAATCAGGCCACTCACTTCTCATTTGCATCCAGATGTTTGTGTGTCTCCTTTAATGATTCTCAGCTCCTTTCCTCTCCAAAAACATTTCGGGGGAAGACATTCTTTCCCTTGTACCTCACCAGATGCTAAACAAACAGAGTGGGAGTCTCCGATCAGTTTTGGTCAGACGTGATGGCTCAAAGTTTTCCAGTCAAGTTTAAAAGAGACATTTCAAAGCTTTTATTTTATTTTCTGACCTCTCGTTTGATCCCTGCATAGTTGTGGTTGACCGTTTGCAAATAATCCATGTCAAGGGCATGAAAATAAAGATACAACATTGCTCTTGTATTGCAATTAGTTCAAATGCTGTTTTAAGTATATGGATGCTAGTCATAAATGTAGCGAATGTTTTGGCATTTTGAAAGGAAAAGGAAAAAAGACACTACTGTCCAAGCGTATTAAATGATGTAGTATCGCTCTTATTACAGCTCCATGCACACCACTGTATGCAAAGAAAATCCAAAGCGTGACTGATTGACGTGCCTTGCAGTTGCTAAACTAAGAATAGACAATCTGCATTCGAGGGAAGGGGTTTGGTGAACGGTCAATTGTAAACTCTTTAGTGTGTTGGCTTTAAAAATCAGTAACTTCACATCTTTTCCTCTCCGCTCGGCTCCAGGAGGAGGACTGTGGCGGGGCGTCCGGCCTGAGCCCCTCACTGTGGCTGATGGTGGCCCTTCAGCTGGTTCTGCTCTGGGTTTTGACTGGCTCCAGACCCCATAACATCCCGTCATGACCTCTGAAAATCCTCATCACACCCTCTCTCTCTCTCTCTCTCCCCCTCTGATACCTCCAAAATGGCAACCAGCATGCAACGCTGCCACCAAAATGGGGAACACCTGATGAGAAGCACTTACAAACACTAACAAACAAACGAAAACCTGTGAGCCCCACATCTTCTCAGTTCCTCCTTTTGATACCTTCATTTTCAGGGGTTTCTCAAAGTGATTTCACCAGGTGCAGTGTTGAAAGAAATGTTAATTGGAAGATATAACTTTGAAAGACAAGAAAGGACCTCAACCTCTGCCTACCGTTCATGTCTTCAATAGTCCCCGCCAGCTGAGATTAGAGGAATCCAGAGATTCATTTTGATTGGCGACTTCTGAACTTTAATGTCATTGATGATAGAAATCAGACTGCCTTATATTATCAGAGGGTTTTAAATCATGATTGGGGGGGGGGGGGGGGTCTGACTGTTTATGAAAGACGTTGAGCAGTTCAGGATCAGCGCTGCTTTTTGCAAGCGTGTAATTTATTTTGAATCAATTTGCAGTGACTAGTTATTAGGTATTTATTGTTTTGTGATTGAGAATTCATCACAACCTCGTGCCCTTCATTTGGCTCCGTTGGGTTGCTGAAAATAACGTCGTCTTCGACTGATATTTTTTTAGATGGCACTACGCAGAACATTTTCACAGTGTCCCTGAGGGTATCGAAAGATGCATCGTCTTTACTTTCCCATCGGTGTTCTTTCATGTAGATACTGTAATTGCAGTGTGGATATCATTGTTCATTGTTTATGTTCATGCACAGAAACCAACCCTTCAACTGCCACAGGGCCTGCTTCTAAGTGTACGGATTTTAATAGCTGAGCATCTAGTCCATCAGCCCTGATCGAGAGTAGGAAACTATCTGGATTTGCCGCCTTGGGTGGTATTCGATTTCTCCAATGAAAACTTTGTTGCCATAGTGCGCATTAACCAATCGGGGTGAGCCTGGCTGGTGTCCTATGCATGCTCAGTGGACAACATCTCTAGTGCCATGTGGACTGTGTGACTCAGTTGATCCCTTCAGCTTTGTCGACTGTGGCTACCGAGTGGAAAGCCCGGTCGTATTTATTTGTTTTAATTTTTAGTTAAATGAAGCGTCAGGACAGCATGTTACTTTTTCTTTTATTGCCACCACTAAAGAAGATGAATGAAGGGGATGTGAGAGTTTGTATTTGACATTTTGGTCAACAAAAAAAGGAAAAAGGTATGTTTGTATTCACTGCTGTCACTTTTTAAATCAAATGACTACTATCTGCACTTCAGTTCAAAGTGCAGCTGTTATTTTGTCTTTACAATTTGATCCTTACTGGAGAACAACATTTATCTCTATGTAGTAGTGAGGTTTCCTCTTGCAACTTGTTATACTGTGGTGTTAGAGAAATCACTGCAGTCAGTCCATGCTTGTGGTCCTATTTACTGCTGCATTTTATTTTGTTTTCTCCAATAGAGGGACATCTTGTTACATTATGTGTGCCTTGTTTTCCATTGGTTACTTATACAAAACATACAGTGAGAAATTACAGATGATTTACTGTAGATCCTTTTATTGAAATAGTGTCATCTTGTTTGCCAGAGTGCAGTTAGATTTATTAATCAGCCAAACCACTGCTGCAGAGCAAAGGAAATCTGACAAAATAATAAAAAGCAAATCATTTCACAGGACCAAATCAGGAATCTTAAAGCAGCTAAACGCCAATGCAGCACTAATAACGTCAAAGAGGATAAGAGAAAATAACACGTTTTAAATCCTGACTATAAAAATATGATTTTTACTTGAACCAGCTGCAGTTGATGGTTTGGTTGCTGCTGTCAATGAGTAATCCCAAAATTCGATCGTTGTTTAGGTGTAAGAATTGACAATCGCAGGTAACAACAGTAAACTTTTACACCTGTTTAGTGATATCATATATGTTAGTATACACTTTATGGTTTTACTGCCTACTAGGAACCCCAAATCATAACATTTTCAGAATCAAAACATCAACAGAGGAACTAATTTGGGGATTTTAGGAATGCCTATATGACTAAAATAAAACCAAGGAGTGCAACTTTGTGTAGTAGTGTTTAACACTGGAGCAGGTTTGTAGGAGACTACTTCATTTAGTGGGGAAGTGAAAACCACAAATTAAGCTGTGTGTGTACGCATTCCTCCAAGTCAAATCAACGAGTGCTGGTTTGTCCATTTTCTTTTATGGCAAAGCTCCACCATCATCATTTTCAGACTTTCAAACTTTAAAGTGGTCTGGGTGCACTTTTTACTCTTCTCCTCTATCTTACACTGTAACCATCCAACAAAATCAATGTGGTTATACTAACAATGGTATTAATGCTCTTCATTTACTAACATACTCAAGAATATCAAGTGCCATATGGGACTCTCTTATTCTCTTGTGGAGAAACCTATTATCGTAATATAACATTTATGCAATTTACCAAGGCAACATGTAAGTCTCATGAATCGTTTCCCTGTGCTGCATGGTAGTGGCTTACAATTTAATTGAAAAAACATATCCAGTCTGCTCCTGCTTTAGTGTGTAATGTTGGGAAGCATAATATTCTGCGTGTCAGGCATTTGTTCATGATGTGATGAAGTATGATCAGCTACAATTACTGCCTTTCTCTTGGGGGGGGGGGGGGGGCCCATTTTTGCGCCCCCCGGGGGGGTGGGTTGGGGCGCCAAACCCCCCCCCTGGTGTAA